GCTATAGGCGCCGAGCCGATGCTGTGTTCTTAAGTGAAGTGTCACCCATGCTGGTGCTTTTCCAACTATGATGATAAAGAGCAAATGTTTCTGATCTGTTATTAGAGTCAGTGGAAATAAAATTAAGTTGTCGAATTGGTGTAGGTGCAGAATACTCAATCCCTAGTTTCTGTATTAACAACAGTTTATAGACGGTATTGGTCCTTGGACAATACTTTGATTTGTGACACTCCTCTGCCTCCACTGTGGCCAGGGAGCTGTATATGTTTGTTTGCTTATTTGTGTAGGTGGTGGGGACTGAGGTGCTTAATTTCTGTGGTGGGTGTTGCTTGCCATTTTCCCCAGTCCTTTTTACCTTGTCTTCCCTCTTCTTGTTCCTAGGACCCTCGAGATGCCCCTCCTCCAACTCGTGCAGAAACCCGGGAGGAACGTATGGAAAGGAAGGTATGCCATTTTTCCCTCCTAATCCCTTGTATATTTTGCCCCCTTTTCTGGGTGGTCCTTGATATCAGAGTACTTCTGTTTGTATTCACTTCTCCGCCTCCCCTTTCTCCCAAAAGAGACGGGAAAAGATAGAGCGGCGACAGCAGGAAGTGGAGACAGAGCTAAAAATGTGTAAGTCTAATTCCTCCTCATTTCTCCCTCCCACCCCCCAGCCCAACACTTTGTCTTCTTCCCAGGTCACACCCAGTACCCTGCTCTCCCAAAGGCCTGTTTTGTGTGGGAGCGAGGTAGTTAGTTCACATATTTAGCTCCTACCACTTCCTAAAACACAGTTTGGTGTATGTAGTCTTTCAAGCAAGAGAGCCTGGGGTAGGCTCGGCACCTGTAGCTCAGTGGTTAGGGCTCCAGCCACATACACCAGAGCTAGCAGTGTATGAATCCAGTCTGGATCTGCCAAACAACAATGACAACTACAACCAAAAATAGCCAGGTGTCGTGGTGGTTGCCTGTAGTCCCACCTACTTGGGAGGCTGGGGCAAGAGAATCGCTTAAACCCAAGAGTTTGAGGTTGTTGTGAGCTGTGAAACCATGGCACTCTACTGAGGGTGACATAATGAGACTGTGTCTCAAAAACCAAACAAACAAAAAAGAGCATGGGGTAGAGGTTGGCAGGAAGGGAGACCCCTGGTATCTTGGGTTCCTCCCAGTGGGGAGCATACTTGAGGGGCTACGATAGCCAGGTTGGGTCTCATAGGCTCTAGCAATAAGGTACAGGCTAATGAGTTAATCCTTATTCTACCCTTAGCCTGGGGATGTTCCATACCTTCCTGGTATAGGAAGAATTGAAATATGAGTCAGATGATTGGTAGCCATTAGCCAAATGCACAAGAGGGTTAATGTTAATCTCCAATGGCCATTTATTGTTACAGTGAAAACTTCATAACTGTGCAGGCATAACAGTGTTTCAGTCAGTGGTGAGCCAGGAGCCACAGATATGGTAGAGATCCTGTAAGATAATACTATTTTTACTGTTACCTTTTCTGGTTTAGATACACAAATACTTAACATTGTAATAGAACTGACTACAGCATCTAGTACAGTAGCCTCTTGTACAGCTTTGTGGGGTATGCCATATAGCCAAGTCTGTAGCAGGCTCTACCATCTAGGTTTGTGTAAGTTCACTCTGATGTTTTCCACAAAGGTGAAATTGCTGGCTCCATGCTTGTAGCTCAAGCGACTAAGGCTCCTGCCACATACACCAGAGCTGGCGGGTTTGAATCTGGCTTGGGCCTGCCAAACAATGACAGCTACAACCAAAAAATAGCCGAGCATTGTGGCAGGCACCTGTAGTTCCAGCTACTTGGGAGACTGAGGCAAGAGAATCGCTTAAGCCCAGGAGTTGGAGGTTGCTGTGAGCTGTGACACCACGACACTCTACCCAGGGCAATAGCTTGAGGCTCTGTCTCAAAAAAAAAAAAAAAGATGAAGTTGGTGAACAACACATTTTTCAGAATATGGCCCCCAGTGTTAAGGGAGGCATGAATGTGGTCCGATGACTTTGGTTTTCCTTCTACATCTGTGAGGCTATAGTGAATCACTTCTCCAAACCTTGGATTGGCAGATTTGCTTAGGGTGTTTAATCAATACCTGACAGGCATCTAGCCGAGAGTTATCTGATCACTAACAATAGTGCAGCTGTCTTGGTGTCCTTTCTTAGATACCTCAGAGGTATCTCAGACTTGGTGTCCAAACCATGATAGGGATTTTCCCTCCCTACCAACCTGGTCTCCTCTGGATGTTTTCTTTGGGACATGGCCATACTGCTATATAAGTCACAACCTTTTTATTTTGAGACAGAGTCTCACTTTGTTGCCCTGGGTAGAGAGGCATGGTGTCATAGTTCACAGCAATCTCAAACTCCTGAGTTCAAGCGATTCTCTTGCTTCGGCCTCTGGAGTAGGTAGCTACGACTATAGGTGTCTGCCAAAACACCTGGCTTTTTTTTTTTTTTTTTTTTTGTTGTTTGGCAGGCCCAGGCCAGGTTTGAACCTGCCACCTCCGGCATGTGGGGCCAGCGCCCTACTCCTTTGAGCCACAGGCGCCGCTCTCGCCTGGCTATTTTTAGAGACAGAGTCTTGCTCTAGCTGGGGCTGGTCTTGAACTCTTGAGGTCAGACGATCACCTGCCTCAGCCTCCCAGAGTGTTAGGATTATAGGTGTGAACCACCGTGCCCAGCCCATCGTGACCCTTTTTTTGCCCTTTGCTCAGCCTGTCATGAAGAACTGTCCCTATTACTCTTTACGTTTTTTTTTTTGTTTGTTTTTTGGCTTTGCAGTTTTTTGGCTGGGCCTAGGTTTGAACCTGCCACCTCCAGCGTATGGGGCCGGCACCTTACTCCTTTGAGCCACAGGTACCACCCCCTATTACTTGTGTAATTATTTGTTTTTGGGGGACAGTCTTGCTAAGTTGCCCTCAATAGAGTGCTGTGGCGTCACAGCTCACAGCAACCTCAAACTCTTGGGCTTAAGCAGTTTCTCTTGCCTCAGCCTTCCAAGTAGCTGGGACTACAGGTATCCGCCACAATGCCTGGCTATTTTTTGGTTGTAGTTGTAATTTTTGTTTGACAGGCCTGGGCTGGGTTTGAACCCACCAGCTACAGTGTATGTGGCTGGCACCCTAGCTTCTGAGCTACAGGCACTAAGCCCCTTGTTACTCTTAAGTGTCACAAATCTGACCCTTCTGCGTATGTCCACCAACACCACCCTGGTCACTCCTTGTCTGGGCACTATGGTCACATGTCATTCACTAGTTTGCTTCCATCTTTCCCAGCCAAAGTCCACTGAGGGTCTTTCTTCAGTACAGTTCTGATTGTACATCTGGTTACAGCTTCCTTTTGTTCTCTACCATGACCAGAGTGCTTGCCCACCATTCTAGACTCAGTTTGAACCAGATTCAGAATGTGTGAAATTGTGGAGGATAAACTTGTGATTCAGTTTTTTTCTTATTGGCAGTCTTCTTTTTTTTTCTTTGCGGTTTTGTCTGGGGCCAGGTATGAACCCACCGCCTCCAGTATATGGAGCTGGTGCCCTACTCCTTTGAGCCACAGGCTCCACCCTTCTTTCTTATGGGGAGGGGAGGGCAGAGTCTCAACTCTGTTGCCATGGGTAGAGTGCCATGGGATCATAGTTCACAGCAACCTCAAACTCTTGGACTCAAGTGATCCCCTTGCTTTAGCCTCCCAAGTAGCTGGGACGACAGGTGCCCACTACATGCCTGGGTAGTTTTTTCTGTTTTTAGTAGAGATGGGGTCTCTCTCTTGCTGAGGCTGGCCTTGGACTCAGGAGCTCAAGCAGTCCACCTGCCTCGGCCTCCCAGAGTGCTAGGATTACAGACGTGAACTACTGTGTCTGGCTTGGGATTTAGTTTTTTTAACAAATAAATGACAAAATGAGGGCAGGAAGAGGACCATATGGATTAAAAAGTCAGGACATATGGCTCAGTGCCTGTGGCTCAAGTGGCTAAGGCACCAGCCACATACACCTAAGCTGGTGGGATCGAATTCAGCCTGGGCCTGCCAAACAACAGTGATAGCTGCAACCAAAAAATAGTAGATGTTGTGATAGGCACCTGTGGTCCTAGCTACTTGGGAGGCTGAGGCAAGAGACTCGCTTAAGCCCAGGAGTTGGAGGTTGCTGTGAGCTGTGATGCCACGGCATTCTACCCAGGGGGACAGCTTGAGGCTCTTGTCTCAAAAAAAAAAAAAAA